AGAGTTATTTAGTACAAGTAGATTTTAGTAGAGTTTATATTTTCAACAAGAGACTCCCAAATCTCACTATTATCAGATCTCACCATAATCCGTAACAAGTATTAAGCATTTTATTTGTACTTTTTGCAGGAGTCTTATATTATATTCTTTTTAGATTAGTTCAGATTCACTAAAGTGTGTATTTTCTGAGGATATATTCAATATCTGCTTAATAGAACTTGACTAGTTGATCTCTGGTCTCAATACAATAAAAATTCGTGAACTTTGGCATGTTCACTCCATTAGTAAAAAAAGTGAACATTTTGTTGTGCTATATGATAATACTAGACACCTATGCATATGCTTAACATTAATAAACTATAGTTTTTATACCATTATTTTTTTGCTACTATGCTTATATTCCCGAATGCTAAATTTCACATTAGACTCATGCTACAATATTGGTTCTAAGATTTATCTGCATTAGGAGTTAATTTTTTTTCTGAACTAGTGATTTTAGTGATGCTGTTTGAGGAATTTGGTGCAGTTGGATATAATAGTATTAATGTAGATTTTTCATACTTGGAGAGCCTTCGAGGAACTCACATCTTTACTACTAAGGTTTGTGAAGAGATGATTTGAAAACAACAATGGGGAGAAGGATTTGGTATTATGAAAAAAAACATTAAATCTAGCTATTGCAACAGGTAAGGTAGAGAAGCTTTATGAAATTCATAAAAACTTTGCTAGCCAAATAGAAAATGATATTATAAGTCAAGTTAGAAATAGCGATGATGATGCTGAGTTCATGCTTACTATCAATGATTCAGTAAGTGTCAGGACGAAGGGTTGACCCAAAGGATCAAATAATGTAAACTCAGATTTTAAGAGAAAAAGAAAGCAAATACTTAGATATAATCAAGGTAATAGAAAGAATAGGGTTAGAAGACCTCGAAAAATATTACAAGATATAGATTTAAATATTAGTGAATCTAGTAAAAACAGAGAGAGAAAATGTAGTATTTGTAATAAAGAAGGGCACAACGCACGTACTTGCCCTAAGGAAAGTTAGTATAATGGTTATAAGGTTGGGAAGCTTTTACTTTAAAAATAAAAATGAATTATATATAATTTTGAATCAATAAAGTAATTTTGTTGTGCTGAACTTGATTTTTATTATTTGTGAATTGGAACCATTTAGTTACATAAAAAAAATTTTTAATAGCACTAAATCAAATTAAGTTACTTATAAACCAGTTGACATAGTATTGCTATACAATTAAATAGTTAAAACAATTTTAGAAAATCACTCGC